CTCATTTACTATTGATATCATAATACTAAAAATATACGTTATGTTGGCACTCGGTTGAGTAAGGTACCGGGTGCCCGTCGCGGCCCATCGGTTTGGGTCGTGACAGAAGAAATGAAAGATCTATTAATGTATCCGCTTCCAAGACTAGACAACATATTGCAATGATTATCAAGCATCCATAACCCTATAAAGCCATTCGTAGAATCACAAGCCGTCAGTGCATAACTGATGCCGAGTACTTAATGTCGCACACGAATCTAAGAGAAAGAATCTGGAAATTGAGGCTTGAAGCTGAAATAAGGTCGCAGGATAAGGAAAGAAAGATGGGAAGTTTCCTAAATTCCCTGTAGCCTTACGAAGATAGGTATGTACATCATCATATCGATGCGCAAGACTCTACTAGACACTTGCTCATGACTCGTAGAACTTATGAGCCTAGAGCTTCGATACCAGTATGCCACGATCTAAAATCCTACCAAGTCGCGATGGCACCTAACCCAACCCACTAGGTAAGCCAAACTGTAAAACCTACTATCTTAATGAGAAATCATCAATATTATAAATAAAATTGCGAAAGAATTCAATACAACTATCCCAAGGACTAGTAGCACAAGTCAAGAGCCACTACTTAGATTTTAAAAGCTGGTAGAAAAGAATAAATACAACATCTGTTTGATATTTACATAAACAAAACTAAAGTTCTAATCTACCATGAACAAATAGTAGCTTGAATCTAGAGCGCAACTACAACTTCAATGCCTGCCTTCATCATCCACAACAGCTCATCTCCAAGAATTTGTACGCAAGGTGCAGAAGTATAGTATGAGTACAACTGACCTCATGTACTCAATAAGTATCTCGACTTACCTAAGAAAAGTAATGACAAGGTTTTTAGGTCAAAAGATACTCACATTCCATAACCTATGCAGCTCAATAACATGTACAATATAGAGAAATAATCCTGAAAAGAGAGTTACAGAATTATAAGGTCACGGGTTCGAGCCGTGGAAATAGCCTCTTGCAGAGATGTAGGGTAAGCATACAATAGACCCTTGTGGTCCGGTCCTTTCCTGAACCTCGCATCTAGGCAGGAGCTTAGCGCACCGAGCTTCCCTTTTTAGAGTTACAAAATCAAGGATATCAACAGTAAAGATCCACAACTAGGGTCGGGGAAATAAGTAAAGTCGTCCAATTAAACAGATCAAACAAATACAACTTGCACCAGCCCCGCTCACAAAGAGACATGCACCAAATACTGTGTGTGCTCAAATACTCAACATGTTTGTAAGCTTGTACCCAACACAATCCAATTCCATATAAGTTCTCAAATAACAAGTTCAAGAAAACCTTACAAGAATTCAATGCATCAATGTACGATGACAACTCTTTTTCTACATCAATCCGTTACGCTACCAACAACCCAACTACATTTGAGATATCAAATTAACATAGGTAACTTCATCTTGACAACCAAATCGTCAAATAACAACATAGGCATAGATTAGCATGTTACATGCAACATAAAAAGTGTAAAATGCATGACAAAACATAAAGAATTCACCTACATAATCAAGGTAACACCCAGTTTTGACAGTAAGTCATCAAATGGAAACACAAACATATGACATCTCGTGCCCATCTTTTTGCCACAATAAACACTAGCCGCCCTTATCACCCTACACCCCGACACAATAGCAATAGCCACCCTTATCGCTCCGCATCCGACACAATAACAATATCAACCCTTATCACTCTACATCCGACACGATAGCAATATTCATCCTTAACGCTTTGTACCTGACATAATAGCGATATCCACCCTTATCGTTCGCACTCAATACAATAGCAATATTTCCCCTTATCGCTCCGTACCCGACACAATCGCTATATCCACCTTTATCACTCTGCACCTGACACAATAGTAATATTCCCTTATCTTCCGTACCCGACACAATAGCATATCCACCCTTATCTCTTTGCATCCTCATAACTCATTAACAAAGTGCACAAGGATATGATAATAACAAAAATATGGATGAGGTCGAACATAAAAAACATGACTACAACTAAATCAAATTAGCAATAATTCCACAAGTGCTCATCTTGCCCAATTAGAAAATAATAATCCTGAAACGTCATCTCTAGCATTAAAGGATAAACCGCATAGCCATAAAAATGGATGGCACATGTATCACAGAGAGCACACGTTCAGATCAAGGCACAACTCAAGAACAATAAGTACGGGTGTCTGTTCACAACCTACATATTACTATGTTCGAGACAAGTATAGCATAAATCTCAATAATAGTTCATCATGTTCAAACTAAAATACCAATAGCCTTAACATTACCTCTAGTATGGTCTATTGTGCTCAGGCAGTCAATTAACTAAATAACACATAGAATCAAGTAGAACACAAAACCAAACATGGCATATAGTAATCTAGAATGCATCCCTATCATGAATACCTATGGCACAAGTATATACGCTCATCACATCATATATAAATCACCGCCACGTAGCAAATAATACCAATTAATTGGTAAAAATTCCCTCAACTAAAACCAGGCAAGACACTTACCTCAAACAAGCCAAATCAATATTGTAAGAATACCTTCCCGTGCAAATCAACCACCGAAGGGCTTGAATCTAGCGAAAAAATTCAATAACATCAAAATAGTGCCGTAGGAATCAAATCCAAACGATAAAGGTCGAATCTTCAATCAATTGCTCAAAGTCAACCAAAAAGTCAACCCAGACCCGCATCTCAAAATCTAACAAAACTCACAAATACCAAACTCCATTCCAATATGAGTCCAAATATATAAGTTTCATCCAAAACCAACTCCAAATCGGGGTTCAAATCTCTATTTTTTACTTTTAAAAAGTTTTGCCAACGCGGAGGCAATTCCACCAGCTTCTAGCTTTCGAAAGCGAACTCGACACGTCTTTGCGAACATGGCGAGCAAGCCACTCAGCCACTGCGAACGTGACCACTTTGTCTCGAACGCGAAAAGGAAATGTACCCAGACCCAACAAACACCCTTCACACGCCCGCAAATGCGTAGAACAAAACTCCTCCAATCTACTTCCTTATTAGCGAATGCGATGATACCTCTGTGTATGCGATTCATAGTTGACACCAACAAAAACTAGCAATGCAAACATGAGAGAAATGGTCCGGAACCCAATTGAATCATACCCGAGCCCCTTGGGACCCCATCCAATAATTCTAACAAGTTTAAATACATTATCAAAAATTATCCAAGGGCTCGAAACATCGCAATTAACATCAAATCAAGAACTGAAGACTAAGATCATTATCTTAACTTTTAAACCTTCAAACTTCGCCGAACACGTTTGACTCTTACCAAAACAACTCGTAATGAAACCAAACTTTGCACACAAGTTCCAAATGACAAAACGGACCTATGCTAAGTCCCATAAAAATAATCCGAACCCGGTAACCTCAAAGTAAACCTATGAACTTCCTAAGCATTCAAATTGCCAACTTTTGCCAAATGGAGTCAAATCAACCTAGTAACCTCCAAATCCAAAACCGGACATATGCCTAAGTCTAAAATCACAATACGAACCTATTGGAATCATCAGAATGTGAATTCGAGACCGCTTACACAAAAGTCAAACCTTGGTTAACTCTTCAACTTTAAGCCTCCAAAAATGAAAATTTCTCTTCCAAATCAATCTTGAACCGTTTGAACATCGAAACCAACCATACATGCAAGTCATAATGCACCATATGAATCTACTCAAAGTTCCAAACCACCAAACAGAATGCTAGTTCTCAAAACGAACGACCGAGTTATTACATTTGCATAAACACCCTTTAGTGTAATGGCTATAACTTTTTGTAGAAAATTTCAAATAACAAATTTTCTGTAAACTAGACTCAAAGGGTTCTAATTTCATTTTTGAATCATTCCTAAATTCCTTATAGATTGCATGATTTAAGCCCCCGAAGTCTGATCACTAACACCAAAAATTTCCTTCCATACGATTGCGGCCATTCCTTCCGCCGTCGCTATTCATAAGCCCCGAAATGCACTTTACTCTTCGCTAAAGCTTCCTAGACCTTCGTGATCGCAATGTACAACCTCGTGGTTAGTTATTAACAGCTCAAAAAGGCATGGAAGTGGTTCGAAACCACCCCGAAACTCAACCGAGGTTCGAGGGACCCTGCCCATTAACCAACAAGTTCATATACCTTATCCAAAGACTCAAAAGCATCACAAACAATATCAAAACCAATAATCGAAGGTCAAATCCATTCCTTAGCTTTCAAACTTTCCAACTTCATCGAACGCGTTTGAAGTACACTTAGACATTCCGGTTCACAATCAAACTTTAGATACAAGTTCATTTCAACCATTAGGACCTATCCAAGATCTCAAAATCACCATTCAAGCTCACGAACGCAAAAGTCAACTATCGGTCAAACAGAAAAACTTTTCACTTCTTCAAATTGCAAACTTCCGACAAATAGAGTCAAAATCTTCTAGGAACATCCCAAACCAAATTCGAACATGTGCCCAAGTCCAAAATTACCATTTACAAACCTATATAAACCCTCGAATCCCGATTCTGATTCCCTTTACCGAAAGTCAAACATTGGTCAACTCTTACAACTTAAAGCTTTCAAATAGAAACTAAGTGTTCTAAATAAATTGCCAACCTCACAAAATCATTTCCAACCAAGAACACATGTCATAAACCACCAAATGCACCCAAGGGAAGTCTCCAATTCGAAAACAAGGTGCTAGAACTCAAAACGACCGGTTGGACGGTTACATTTTCCCCCGCTTAAATATATATTCGTCCTCGAACATGCCATGAAGTCTATCAGAATCGTCTCACCACACATTCCCAACAGTGACTAATGTCAGATTCATACAGATGATGTCATTAGTATAACTTCAAATGAGAATTTCTTTATCAACTCTATCTTACAAGCTTATAAACTTATCATTAACACTTGCAACTTCTTCAAAATTTTGATTCTTGCATATTCTCGTTCTTACCATCCAAAGAACCGATTTCATAACATATATTAACTGCAAGATCGTAACCACATGTTACATATCCACATATCTCATATTTGTAGCAATATCCACTTACTAAAACAACAGATCATACCAAACCAGGTACCGACATAAATAGCATAATTCAAATGGATTGTTCATCCAATTCTTAACAATACATTTAGTAATACAAGAAACTTGTAGAAACTCATAACCAATCTCTATTAGCAATAAATCATGGATATCTCTTCTGCGATAGTAGCCATTGCTAGATTTGAGCTATCTGAATGCATTTTCACCCAAAAATGGCCTTCTCCAAGTCCAACTATAGAAATTTCAAGTCCGCTACCTTTGCCTCATCGAGCACAACCTACTCAACCAACAAATCGCATCAATTTCCAAACAAGTACCAAAATAACCTAGTGATGATTTATGCTATTACCTACTCAAATGTGACAAACCTGAAGAAGAGCGCTTGATCTATCTAATAGCTCCTCGAGCTCATTGCCACATCTCCTTTTTACTACTCCCGTAAGGGAGTATAAAAGAGTTTTTCCAATTTAAGTGACAATCGAAACGTGATTATTATTTAAGATCAGAGTCGCCACTTGGGATAGTTAGTGGCGTCCCAAGTCACCGGTTTAGAATCCCGAATCGAGGAGATTTGACTCTGTTTTAATGTCTGCGAAATACAGAAATTCGGGTAAGGAATTCTGTTAATCCGGGAGAAGGTGTTAGGCACTCCCGAGTTCCGTGGTTCTAGCACGGTCGCTTTGATCATACCTGGCTCATTAAAATTGTTCAATTACTGATTTTAGAACCTATGTGCATTGGCCTATTTTAATTAAGGAATCATCTTAAAACAGGTAACGCGTACATGTACCCGTTTGTTCGGTGCGTCAAAAATCATGTCACGTGAACGTGTCCACAATTAATAACGCTTTATTATTATTAAGAAAGTTTAGTCGAAGTTACGCGAACGCATACTCCGATTTTGTTTTTAGGATCGTAATTATGTCACGCGAACGTGTACACAACCACGATGGTATATTAAACGCACCAAAAGCAAACTACGAATATCATTTTTACAACACTTAACAAGAGGGCCATAAGGGATTCAACTATGGATGGCACAACTCGGTCTAAAGAACTATATTTAATGAAAGCGGACCATATTAATAACAATTTTGTTATTATTGAGAAAGTTTGGTCGAAGTTGCGCGAACGCATACTCCGAATTGGTATTTAGAATCGTAATTATATCACGCGAACATGTACACAAACACAATAGTATATTAAACGCGCCTAAAGCAGGCTAAGAAAGCATCAAACAAGCATCCTCGGAAATTTAATATGTAAGTTGGGGAGAATGGGAAATACATAAATAGCCACTGAACTTAACAGTTTAGACTTGGTGACAGGTCAAGATGAAAATTTTAGATAGTTATACAAGATTTTTTCCTAGGCCAACTACATTTTTCATTACTCCTATTACTTACCGAGTATCTCAGAATTTTAAGATTCAAACAATCTTGATTCAAAAAAATTCATATATCATATTAGTAGATAGGCACTTTTGAGCAACAGGCATATCTCCAACCGATGTAGAACTTCAGAGAGCTAGTTATTGGTGTTTACTATATGTAACTCCAAAAATAGCAAGAAAACATTCAAAACCAACATATTATGTGGAAATAGAGAAACTGTAACATGATCTTAAAAGGTGCAATCAAAACAGTGAACGTAATGTAAAATGTGTGTTAGCATATAAGTTTTGAAAGGATCTTACTTGGGAAGCAGCTATTGCATCGAGCAGAAACAGATAAAGTTAATGTTTGACCTGCTAATCTTTTTATAACATCGGGGGACCAGAATCCAACATACCCTGAGCTCAGAGCTAACATCTGAACAGAAACTATCTGATAAATTCGACTTTGAATATACAAGCGAGGAAAATTCAGCGACGTATTGGAATGGAACTAATGCTACGGCTAAACTAGATAAAGAATCCGGAACTTGAACCTCGATCGACACCTCAAAGCCCGAGCCTGAACACCGTAAACAACCTCCAAATTGCAACCGAAATTGAAATTGAAAAGAAGAGACAGAGATTTATCTTTACACTTTCCCTTCCGAAACAGATTCCTCGCTAACACAAGAATATAACCCCAATTGCCGTCGAATTTTTCTCTTAAAATCCCGTCTCTATTCCATGTTATTCCCTCTGTTCACTGTCCGTTCAGGAGCATAGGGATTTGAAGGGTGGAGAAGATGGGGGGGGGGGGGGGGGGGGGGGGCTCACATGGTGTGTAAACATGAAGAAGAAGAACGGCGCTCCAGGTCTAGGGATTTATAGGCGTTTAGGTTTAGGTGTATTTTTTTTTTTTTTTTTTTTGTATTTTTCAGCACCTTTCTTTTTAAAATGTAGAGTATCTAGGATTAGGTTAGTGAGTATTGGGTATTGGGCTTGGGTTGTTATGGGTTAAGTCTAAAAATGGGTTGCTTAGCCCAAATTTTATTCTTTCACCCCGAACGAGATTAAAAATACGACATCATTTACTAATTATTCCTACTTAAGTAAAATAACTTTTAAAATAAGACTAACCGTTAAAACAAACTTATTTTTTTTGGTATTTTCAAATATCATATTAAAATAAAATAAGGTACTATTTTTGTATTTTTTTTAGTTTTACGAAAGCTATATAAACTAAAAGCAACTAAAAAGAAGAAGTATTTTTTTAATTTTTATTTTTGTGACGAAATAAAGTAAAAGTATCAAAATCAGTTGAAATAACTATATTAGACCTAAACTAAGTATTTAAATGCTAAAATATATAAAATCTTGGGGAGAGTAAAAAATCACATGTCTACACTCATGGTATCCTCTCTCAACAATACCAAGTATATGTAGACCCTGCTCTAATTGTCCATTTAATTAGCAGATAAGCAACCAACTCAACCCAAAATACATAACACAATTGCCACAAATACATAATGGACTACCACTTTTGTCAAACTCGTTTAACAGAAATACCTCTGATGGAAACAATTTCTCAAGTGATAACTCCAAATGAAACCTTGCACAGTTTAAGAAAATCGGACATGTCATAGAATATGCGATATCGTGGACTATTAGTAGCCACCCAAATTGACATGAATTTCTTCCAAAATAGATAATAAGCATTTCTTAGCTCTGAAGAAACTACCCTTATTTTTCTAGTCATGGACCTTTTAGAAATTTCTCAATCATGACTCGCCACACAAATATAATCATAACCCATTATCAACTGGGTTAATAAGAAACCACCCTGATAGCCTTCCTTCCTGATACTTTATCTACCCAAGTCACACATGATTTAATAATACCTCGGGTAACCCCACAACATCAGATATTCAAATCCTTTGAATCTGAAGCCCTCAATGAACATGATCACCATTTCAAACACAGTGAAGCATCATCCTCTACGTCTAAACCAAACTTCTCATTTTATGACCCCTGAGAGATACCGTCCACTAATCTTGAGCATAATCTATCCATCACAAATATTGCGGACCACATATCCCATCACACACTATACATTTAAAGTCATTCACACCAAATACTCTCACTAACTTTACTCTCCGCCTTTCTACTCAAGGCGTCCGCTACCACATTCACGTTACCCCGATGATACAAGATAGCGATATCATAATCCTTAAGGAACTTAAGTCATCTTCGCTGCCTAATATTCAAATTCTTCTGCTTGAACAAGTATTGAAAACTGTGATGATCAGTATAACCTCACATGACACGCCATACAAGCAATGCCTCTTAATCTCAAGTGCATGAATACTAGCCGCAAACTCCAAATTATGAGCTGGATAATTCCTCTTTTGAAGCTTCAGCTGTTGTGATGCATACACAATCGCCTTGCCATCCTATATTAGCACTACACAAATACCAACGCATGAAGCATCACAAAATACCATATATGGCCCTGAACCTCTGGGCAACACCAACACTGAGGCTGCATTGGATGAAAACTCCTTTACAAAATAACAAGAGTAGCATGACAAACCCAAGAAACTACTGATCATAGTATCTATAGTAGGTCTAAGCAAATTCTGAACGGCCTCAATCTTCTTATGAAAATCTTAACACCATCATTAGACACCACGCAGCCCGAGAATGCAACTAAATCCACCCAAAACTCATACTTAGAAACCTTAGCATAATCCTGCTTTTCCTTCAAGGTCTCAAGCAAAAACCCTAAAATGCTACGCATGCTTCTTCCTACTGCGAGAGTAAATCAAGATATCTTTTGTGATCACAATCACAAAATAGTCAAAATAAGGCTTGAACACCTGGTTCATCAAATTCATAAATGCTGCTGGAGTATTAGTCAACTCAAATGATATCACCAAGAACTTATAATGACCATAACGAGTCCTAAAAGCCTCTTTAGGGATATCCGTGAACAACTGCGAAGCCATACACACAATTGTTTAACCAAAAAATAGAATTTTGACTAAAGCTATAATTTAGAAGAACACGGGTTACTGATAATCGCAAGAATGTATAAAAGAAAGTAATTTGGATAGCTAGGATATAATTGAATAAAACAAGTAAACCAAAGTATATTCAGATGATCTTTCTTCTCCCTACAATTGTTCAGCCCTCTCCTTTTTATAGTTATTTTTGAGATGTATGTCTTGCCTTTGTCATAATAAGGCCATTATGGGTAGTTAATGACATTGAATGCTATGTTACATAATCATTATATTCAAGACAGATTCTCTAACGTTTTTAGTATTTAAGACTTATTAAATACTGTATTTGGACTCCCATGTATTGTCAAATTCATTCCCTTGATTCTTGAATTTAAATGTCTTGAATAGGTATGGGCGCTGAATCCTTTAAATGTCTGCCCGTGCCTCTTCCTTTGCCTTTGCTCGCATCCATTGCTACCCGTGCCTCTTGGCTAGTTGAAATTCTTTGACCATTTGACCAGTCTACGTGTCACAATACGTCATCTCCATACTACTTTAATATGTAAACTTAATTTTCCCAATACAGATAGTCCCCCCACTTGCCATTTATTCATCAATTGAATATTTGGAAGTGGATTTCATTAAAACAGTAATTTTTGTCACCATTAATGTTGTGAAAGAATTGACGTTTCAATTGTCACTTCCATTTAATGCGTTTCACACGTGTCACCTTCCTATTGGTTCTGCAGTTTTGTAGTACTTTTTTAGGCTTTCTTTTCGGCTTCCTTGTTTACGAAGTGTCAGTTGTCATTATTATGGTCCTTCCATCATTGCACTTTTCCCTTTGACGGTTGCTCATCAATATAAATATAACTTCTTTCTTTGTCTTTACCTCATAAAGTTTACTGAACACTTTATTTCTTAAATCTCGGTTTGTTTCTTCCTCGTATCATCCTTTTTCATTATGTCTTCATCGAACCCTAACCTTAGAAGGGCTTCCATTGTTGATACCTTCCTAGTGCTCTTAGTAGAGGCAGAAGGGGAGGTAGGCATCGTAGTTCGGGATCTGCATGAGACTCTTCTATTTTATCTCCTAGTTCTGGTCCTTCTTCTAAAACCAAAGGTTCCCTTTCTCAAAAATCTTCCTTTAGGGGTAAAGAACCTGCTGAAATTACGTGAGCCTTTAGTAGAAGAGATAGTCCCTACTGAATTGTCTTTTTATCATGACTGAGAATCTCTTAGGAATCAGGTTTCTACTTTAGATCATGCTGATGCTTTTCCCACTCAGATTACAGAAATTTTGGCTCCTGTAGTTCGCAAAGATTGCCATTGGAGTGATGACTTTCCTATTATTATTGCTAACCCAAATCAGAGAATCACTTCTTACTTGATGGGGTTTTCTTTTGTTTATACATACCCTTTCACCATAGGTTTCAAACCAGCTATTGACCTAGTCATTCTTGATTTTTGTCGTTTCTTCGATGTTTGTTTGGGTCAAATTGGCCCAATCATATGGAGGGTTGTTGGCTGTTTAAGGCATTTAACCAATTCAGTTGGTGTTCCCTTTACTTTCCCTCACCTAATTCATCTTTACTCCCCTAGGCTTTTCCGTAATGGTATTTTCACACTAGTAGCCAGGAGTAAGAGGGTTTTGGTGAGCCCTGATGATGACAAGGACCGTGGCTGGTATGCCCGGTTTGTTGCTGCCCCTACTGCTGGTTTAGTGGGTGAAGATAATGTTCCCTTCCTTGAGAAGTGAAACTTTGCACGTAAGTCTTTTATCCTGTTCGTGCCTTTTTTCCTTCAAGTTTATCAACTTTTCTAATTTTGCTTTTCTTTTTCCTTTTTTAGCAACCATGGGAGTTGTGGAAGATGTCTCCAATTTCCGTGGCTGGGTAGACAGATTACTGAAGACCGCACCAATGGATGGGAGGTCTTGGAAGACACTTTCTAACCGCTTTGGTTGGAAAGTAAAGACTCATGGTAAGAGCTTCTTATTTTGTTTCATCTTTCATGCATATGTTTCTCTTTATGGCTCTAATTTCAATCCATCTTTTTATCAGGATTTGCTATTCGAATAGTTACTGCCGAGGCAGTTGCGGCTTCCCATGCCTCTTCGGGAACCCGTATCTCCTTGGGAAGAGCTCAAGAAATAGTCTTGGTTTCTTCGTCGAAGAGAAAAGCCGTTGAAGAAGAAGATTATGAAGAAGAGGAAGATGTGGGCTCTTTGGTGATAAGGCCTCGAGCTCGAAGACGCATAATTTCCGATGACGAAGCACAGGCGTCTCCCCGTCATTCCGTTCCTCTTACTGAATCCATTAAAACCCCGGTGGTAATTCCTGACGATGACGTTGACCCTGGTAATACTCGTGAGTCCATTGAACATCTTTTTATTAGCGGTTTTAATAGTGGAAGTTTAGGGCCTGTTTTAGATGAAACACCCCTAGCCTCTTTTTCAACTCCGTGCCTGTGATTCCTTCGTTGCCTCCCCAAGCTGTTACTGTTCCTTCCTCAACTGTTCTTACTTCAATTGTTCTTACCTCAACTGTTCTTACCTCTTCTACCACTCCTCCTTTGACAATTCCACCTCCAATCGTTCATCATACTGAGGTGGGTTCTTTAAGTAGAAATGCCGCTATGAGGAGGGTGGTTATTGAAGTTTCTGCTGAGAGCAGCCTTTTAAGGAAATCAGGTCAGGCAGATGTATGGCGGGAGCCTTTGATTGGCCCAATTGAAAAAGCAAAGCTGCAGAGCCATAGTTCCCTGACTCTGATGAACGATATTGTGCATGCTACCTTGAAGGTA